TAATACCAGCCTTAAAACTCTGCAACCTTATTGGTTCTCCTACGCAATCCAGTAGGAAAAATAGTATCGTGTGCCGTTGGCTTTATACTTGGCGCGAGATACTACCGTGTCTCGTGATAGTTGTTAATTAAACTCGCGTTCGCGAACGTTTTTAACTTTAGCTAAACGAAACGAGGTGAAAGATGGAGAAAACGAAGAAAGTGGACAAGTCGCCGGTGGATCCTCATCGAGAATTTTTAGACATGGATACGGACGAGGAAGATTTTGGTCGACAAGGTCTTTTTCTTCTAACAAGCTCGTTCCCCTTCGGACCGACATTTGTCCAATTGACTAATCGGTTAATTAACTAAAAAATTAATTAATCAATACACAACACGTATATGCAGAAGCGTGCGACATTGCATTTTCCATTCTCCAATGTTTCAGAGAGTCCCGAGACCGAAGAGGAGCTCTCCTCCGAACCAATCAAACCGGTCTATGATCAACAGGACTTGGATAAATTGGTCGGTTTGTCCGCCAAGTTTGTTTCAATGCATTCGCATACACACATTACTTTCTATTTTCTCTAATTGTATCTTATTTCATCTTTTTGCAGTAACACAAAAGTGCTGCTACACTCTTACTGGTCCTTCCCACTTGCCTCGTACAAGTTGAATTTTCATCTCTTTAACGATACATTTTTGTGTTCAAGACAGGTTTCTTAATTTTTCTACAATCGTGACTCTTGCTTCACGTCAGTTTCGTATAACTTTTTCAATATATGTCTCACAAAAATATAAATAAATTAAAGACAGATTTGCATTTTGGAGCTAATTTTTAGAGTCGGCTCTTTTCATGACAAACATTTTGTGATACGTTGTTTCAGGTACAATATGTGAAAGATCTCACCATTCTTCCTTCCATCGAGGACTCGGACTGGAAAGAGGATTGTTGTACGATAATTCGCGAATACTTCGAGAATCCAGCTTGCACATTGTTATGCATATATTTCCAAGTTGATACGTTGAAGGCGCAATTAAGCATCTCGGACGCGAACCAAAGCGATTTCGTGTATTTCTCGCGAATACCCTCGCATGTGTTCACCGTCGACAATTTTCATGCAACGGTCACCTTCGGCAGCATCAATCGTAACGCAATGGTGTGCGTGTTGAAAGTAATGGAGAACATGTACGTGCCCATCGCGCGCGACACTGGCGAATGGCCAGATAGTATCTTTTTCTTTAATGTTTAAAACAATTCCTATTGAGTCCAGCTGTAACACTTGCGGATTCTGGAAGTAGCAAGTGAATTTAGTCATAAGAATTTCATAGAAATTCAAATCGTTATCAAAAACATCGTTACATTATTCGAGTTTTCGGCGCCAATCTCGGATATCGATCGACAATTCTTTCTTTAACAAGAAACAGTTATCCGAAACGATCTGTTTTTCAATCTACACAACTTTCTCATGTGCTTAACCGAATGGGTTTATAAGCCAATGGGTTTGACCAAGTTGTACGTCCCAGCAGAGAATCTGTCCGATGTCGCAACATCACCGAGAAGCAGACAGCCGAATTTTACAGAAACAAGTGGTCCACATATCTCGGAAAAATTGCGCGAATCGGAAAAGGCATTAATCGATAGATTTGAAAGAATTGCACGATATTGGGTCAAACAGATACGACAAGTATTGGCGAGCAGATCCACGAGCAAAGGCGAACGAACCATATTTGATGAGTTACAACGTTGGACAGCGAGATGTTAATGTCGAATGTTACCACGTATTACACATATAATGAAGCTATTTTAATTGCCATTTGTATTTATTCAATTTTGTCGCGAAATTACACTAACCGTTTTATTTGCAGACTTTAATTTATGCTGTTTGCACGATCAGTTATCGAGTACGGAAATTCGATCGATATTACATCTGTTAAAGAACGTTTGTTCACCGAGCGTCGACTCCTTTCAACTGTTGACATTACAACTTCGTGAAGAATTGGAACAAGCAGCGTCCAACATAACATATCTGAATGTTCTGTCAGAAGCTTGTAACAATCTGAAATGTCCAGGCGAGATTGAAGAGCCTGTAATGAAAATACTGTTTTTGATATTGTTCATCTGGACAGAATCTTCATTTTATAATCTGTCGTACGGTTTCTTATCTGTATTTAACAGATATCACATTTGCGACTTGATTGCCAATTGTTTTATTCGTAATATTCGTGGTCGTAATCGTTACATCTCGAGTTACATTCTGACTTCTTTAAAAATAATTTAAATTATTCGCTTATTAGAAAATTGGATAACAAAATAAGCGTACTTGTTTACTTTAGGAGCAACACAGAGGTACTTTGTGAGGCTATAAGCACTCAAATAGTACATCAATGTAAGGATTGTATCAATTTACAAGTGATACTAGAAGGCGATGCGGAAAATGGAATAGATATACTTCGAAAATGCATCTCTTGCTGCGAAACATATAAAACGACCTATACTAAAGTACCTGAATTTAAGATGTTTATGGCTAATTTTATCAAGCTTTCACCAAGCAACACATTGTTTCTTAATAATCTTCATAAACCAATTTTACAAACTTATTATCCCGAGTGATTAACAAACTGCCCGGGTTAGCAAATTGAAAGCAAGATGCATTGTATGTACAACATTACTTTAATAGAGTTTAATAGATGTTCAATTTAATTTGAAGAAAGTTGATGAAATTTGCTACATGTCCTGTAGAATCCGATCATCTGTTCATTTTTTTTTAGTAAGATTGATTGCAGATTACGAAGATAACTGCGCTGATTCGATCGAATACCACCTGGGATGTGAACAAACACTTGATATTTAATTATATTGATACGTTTATGCAAAGATGCCGCGATATCATTGAAATATGTGATTCTTCGATAGTATTTGGAAGGTAGTGGAGTCTTTTGTACACGCATGTTCCAGAATAATATGTTGCAACATTATAATTAATACGTGTGACGAGTGTAACACATACAATTTCTATAGGTGCAATAAAGTGGGAATAATCGGCGGTCCAAGAGGTATAGAGTACGATGCCTACTGTCGCCAAATAGAGAGCCTATTTTATGAGAGTCTCGATGAAATCAAATTGATCCGAGACGACATTTTGAACGTTACAAAATCTTCGTGGCTAGAAAGCATGCTCAAGTTTAGGAACTTTGTGGTGGAATTGGAGGGCATGGTCAAAACTTTGATCGACCGCGTATTCGAAGAGATCAAGACCGTCGAGGAAGGCGTCGAGGCTGTTTATGCCCTACAACGTTTTAAACATAGAGAATCTTTGCGAGACATATTATCGAAGAAATGGGTGCAGGTGAGAAATTAGAACAAAGTTTGTACCAAAAAAAAAAGTGCACACTCGTATGTTATTTTGTGCAAAAATGTGCATAATTTCGTGCGAGTATAATCAAATGTTTCTTCAATTATAGTTCAATTAGCAAGAATGCGTTTCTTTTTTAGGTGTGGAAAGTATTTGGTAAAGAAATTGAAAGTTGTAGCAATATTATGACCTTTCATGAAACGTATTATACACCGTTTCAATGTTACTCGGAAGATGTAATTATACTATGCATTAAGCAATATTTAGAACGTTTGTTTCACATGATGATGGACATGTCTGATTGGATGGGAGATTGTTCGGCTGAGAAGTAAGTTTTTCCATGACGTTCTTGTTTTCTGCTCAAAATATTGTTATGCCCGCGTTTTGGACGCCCAGTTTCTGGAGTCGCCTGGATACGAGTTGTTAATGTTTATTAATTATCTTACTGATTCGAAGTTTGGTCCCTGCCTTGAGCGGACGCGTCGTGGGCCAATTGAATTCCTCTGATTATAGTAAACATCGTTTCTTGTCGCAAAATGATCTTCTGTCGTTACCGCGAACGCGTGTGTGAGTGTGACGATGCGAGGTGAAACCGGATCGGATCCGGCGGCTTGCGTCTCCGCGAGAGACGCAACATTTTGGGGGCTCGTAGCGCTCGTCAATTTTCGAGTTTGCTCCGGTGTGATCCGGTCCGGTTTCACCTCGTATTGTCACACTTACACACGCGTTCGCGGTAATGACAGAAGATCGTTTTGCGACGAGAAACGATGTTTACTATAATCAGAGAAATTCAATTGGCCCACGACGCGTCCGCTCAAGGCAGGGACCAAACTTCGAATCAATAATATAGTTAATAAACATTAACGACTCGAGTCCAGGCGACTCTGGATACCGGGCGTCCAAAATGCGGGCATAATATTATTTTATCATAATTTAAAAACCATAGGAGAATACTTGTAATTTTTGTCACGCTATTTTATTTGGCATTAAAAAGTATGTCGTATTCTTTTTGACAAAATTATGATAAATTTATGTGCGATGGATAGTGTTAAAAAATATCTATTTTCAGTTACATATTGGAGCAGTATAAGCGAGTGATGACATGTCGATCATAGTGGCAAATGAGTGTCATTGACAATAAAATGACCTAATTAATTTTGAGACAAATTCGGTAACATGTATTGAAATATTGTATTCCAGACAAAATATAAAGATGGAAACTAAAGAGTGACTGTAAAAAGAACGGGGTTTTCGCCTGTTTTGCGGCCCTCGATTTCGGGATCGATTCATATGCGAATCAACTCCTTATGATAAGATATTAATAGAAAAAAAGTTTCAACTTAAGGTGACATTTAGTTTTAGAGATATGAGTATTGAGACTTTCGCTTCGCGCTACTCGTCCAGGTGTTTGTGTGAGAGAGGATCGAAGAGGGCAAGAGAATTGCACTAAATTAGATATCACTTATACTTTATTTTACACAGTGAATATTCGAACTTGTGCGTTGCGCACCGGCTTGACGAACACACAGTAAGAAGAAGGCGGATGTACGTTCTCGCCCTCTCGACGTTTTCCGCTAATACTAATAATCCCGAATAGAGCCAAAATTATTCTGTTGAATCGAGAAAATGTATCGGAACCAAAATCGTTGTTACTTAAATTCTAATTATACTAATTAGAGATTTTACCTCAATAGTTGGTGCATACAAATGTGTATTTCTAAATTGCAAATCTTCATTTACTACGAATCTAAAAGAGAAGTGAAGCACACCGCGTTTCGAAAAAACCAATCGGCATCGTGGAAAGAGAATAAAATGTTTAATAAGATGTAATTTTCACAGCGAAGAAAATTGGATTTCTTATTTAACAAAAACAATTATTTCATTTAATAAATAGTATTCTGTAATATCATGAAATCTTTATTTGAATGTAGAAAATGTAATGATTTAAATTAATTTACTCAATATAATAAATAGATTTACTTGAAATTGATATTTTTATTTAAATAGAATAAATATTTGCTTCAGTAAAAAAAACAATTTTAAGTCAATCTATTTTCTTAGTTAAAAAAATTTCTTTAACAGTACACGTGTATATGTATACTTGATAAATGCTGTTCCGTAATAAAGTTCTATTAAACTTCTCTTAATATACAGAAAAACTAATGAGAGAGAAAGAGAGGGGGAGGGGGGATAAGTATTAAACGCTAGTGTTATACATATGATAAATAATGTCCCGTGTCTTTTAAGACTCGAATCGATAAACTCATTATTGACAACGATGGAGCAACTTCAACGTAGGGACCGAAAAATCGCAGTCCCGAAAAGTGAAAGATTTGGAAATCCGCGGTTCTGATACGAGTTTCCTATGCGCTCGGCATCCCAGTGAGAAATGATTCGTCGGTCGATGTCAAAACGATGTCGATCGACATCGATACCGTCAAATTGACGTCGATTCGACATCGTTTCGACATCGATCGACGAATCCATTTCTCACTGGGATGTGCATAGCATGAAAGCCGTTCAAACCAATGAACATCGAGCATTGAGTCGCCATATTGAGCCCATAGGCTTAGCATGGACACGCACAGAGTGGTGACTTTATCGGCGGTGTCAGAAGATGCATGGCAAACTAGTTCCGAAAGTAAAAAATGGGCGTAGAGGCGCGCGAAACAGTCTCTTGAAAAGGTATCGAGTAAAACGCCGGCATGGCCGCTCTCAGGTTACATACATAAATACAAACTGTAGATTTTCAGTGCTGTCAGACTGTCAGTATATCTTGGGAACAGCCGAGGCACGCTCAGGATAGCGTGGGTAACCATAAAGAAACAAGATAAATCAGCTTTGTGAAAATGAACTTGGAACTTTTAGGTAAATGAATAGCGATGAGACTGCGATTAATGATAATAAAATAAGGATTTTTCTAATAAGTTAGTATATGCACTTTATAACATTTCCTTCAACAATTATATGTATTTTTTTTTACAGAGTCATTTGGTCAAAACTATCCAGAAGTATGTACAATATTGCGATACGACTGTGATTTTATTATGAAGTAATTGGGTGTATAAACATTTTGAATGATTTTAATTCCAACTAGGAGTTCGATGGCACGTTAGATTGCATATCCCTTGCTGTAACCTGTACATTTAATAAAAGAGGGACATTACTTGCCGTGGGCTGCAACGACGGAAGAATAGTTATTTGGGATTTTCTGACTCGCGGTATCGCCAAAATTATCAGTGCTCACGTACATCCAGTATGTTCGCTGAGGTAAGTTGTAGACAATCTGTAAAGTTTGTTGCGTACACGTATAAATATAAAGTGATTGAGAGGGAATTGGAGGAAATAAAGGAGCGAGTCTCGAAACGTACTAAATCAGTTGCGTCTTTTAGTTGGTCTAGAAATGGTCATAAATTATTAAGTGCGTCCACAGACAACAATGTGTGCATATGGGATGTTTTGTCTGGAGAATGCGATCAGAAATACAGGTTCCCTTCTCCAATATTGAAAGTACAGTTTCACCCGAGGAATCTCAACAAATTTCTGGTATGCCCGATGCGCCACGCCGCTGTTATGGTCGATGTCGAAGGAACACATAGAGTTATACCACTCGACGAAGACGTATGTACAATATACAGCACACGTTTTGATTCAACATTCCACTTCCATTCGCGCGACACGACACACTAGTCGCGCCGGCGGCACCGACGTGCCGTTTTCAGGTATTGCTGTTAATTGAAATTACAAAAGATGGTAACCGCGCTCTAATTTCAGAGTGACTTAAACATAGTAGCGTCATTCGATCGGCGCGGAGATTACGTGTATACAGGAAATGCTCGCGGCAGAGTCTTGGTTCTCGACGCCGAGACGCTGAGTGTAAAAGCCTCTTACAAAATAACGCAGGGCACCGCCAGTAATACAGCGGTGAAAAGTATCGAGTTTGCACGGCGAGGCTCCTGTTTTCTGGTCAACACCGCCGATAGAGTAATTCGCGTATACGACAGCACCGAGATATTAGCGTGCGGCAAGGATGGCGAGCCCGAGCCAATACAAAAACTGCAAGATCTCGTGAATAAGACGATGTGGAAGAAATGCTGCTTCTCGGGGGATGGCGAGTACGTATGCGCTGGATCAGCGAGGCAGCATGCATTGTACGTGTGGGAAAAGAGCATTGGAAACTTGGTGAAAATCTTACACGGGACCAAAGGCGAGCTTTTGCTCGACGTTGTGGTAAGAATGGCATTAAGATAAACATTTCTTTCTAATACGCGTGCAGCCTTCTATTTCGCCCTCTCTCTACAGTGGCATCCAGTGAGGCCAATAATCGCATCCATATCGTCAGGCGTGGTCTCCATTTGGGCACAAAATCAAGTTGAGAATTGGTCTGCGTTCGCGCCGGACTTTAAAGAATTGGATGAAAATGTTGAGTACGAGGAGAGAGAAAGCGAATTTGATCTGAGCGACGAGGATAAATCTGTCGTACAAGGGGAGGAGGCTCAGGACGAAGAAATAGAGGTCGACGTTGCGTCAATTGACAGAGTTGCTGCGTTTTGCAGCTCTGACGAGGAGACGGAAGATATCGGTTCTCTTCAGTTTCTACCTATATCCCCAGACGTCGAGGATTCCGAGGACAATCAAGTAACGCCACACGAGCCGCCGATGAAGAAACACCGTTCGCACGATATAGATCTGCAGGGGGCGCCGATCGATGGTAAGATCGATGATAACGCCTCTTGTTTCGCACGGATCAAATTAATTATGCTTACAAGCAGTTGGTGGCTGCTCTTCTTATACCAGTATTCTGATAAGTTAACAATGAAATTTACAGAAACTCATCCCTTGCTAAATAAAGGAAAGGATAAGCCGACTACGAAGAAAGGAAGACCAAGATTAGAGCATAAAAAGGGAAAATGATTTAATATGTGAGAGAGTTATTGGTAACAATAAAAGTAATCATTTTCTTATTCGTAGTACGAAAGCGACGTGAGAAATTTTTGCCGATTTTGACAAGGTTTGATAGAAACGTAAAATTTTTACGGTTACAGCTAAAAGTGATATAATGAATTTTTAGTAAAACTTGAACGATTCTGTCGTCCCCGCCGCAAAAATATTACACACGAGTGATCTGTATAGTTTAAAATATTCTTTTCTATAATATATCAATGGAACTGCAGTTAATATACATTAGATATGTATCTAGCTCTATTGCGTGACGGAGCAACGATAAAAACAATATTGGAAAGAATTTCTTTTTGCAATTATACTTTTCCTCTAGCGTTCCAACCGAAAAATTGCGTTGCATCTCTTCGTGAGATAATAAAGTTGTAACTTGTAAAATTTGCATTACTCCCTTGTGTGTATCGATATGTAATCGAGTGTCGATCTCTCTGAACTCGACCTCGTCAGAACCGTGCCTTTTTCCCGTTCTAAAATTGTCCCTTGATCCCTATTCTTGTTCAGTGGCACATGCGTGGCACGCAGTGGTGTACGTTGTCACGTGGCAAACGCGAGTAGTGGGAGAAGAGAACCGAAGAGGAAGGAGAACCTAAAGAAAACAGCTGACTTGAATAAAGGGACACTTGCTCCGAAAGATCTTGGAATAGAAAAACGTCGATCGTGTGTGCAAAAACACATTGTAAAGACTTTCGTAGGGTTTTCTATTCCACCTGTCTCTCGATGCGCCTGGACGAGAAGCACCGTTTGTAGCCTCGAACAAATTCCACAAGGCTGGGACGAAGCACGAAGCCGGTTCGTTCAACTCTAGTTCAACCGACACGTTGCCGCTTCACGTGGCACACGCGCGCGTTGTGCGAGTGTACATAGGAGGAAGACAGGTCGATAACCGTCGTGTCTAATTCCGCAGAACGCGAGAGAAGAGAACGGAGTAGCGAGAGTAGCGTAGTCGATTGATTAAGTCGACTTTGGTAGACGAATGAGTACCAAGTAGTGGCACAAATATCGCGAGTCTTACCTGTCGTCATGATTCGTTCGAGCCTCGTGTTTGTCCTCGTTATCGCCGCTTCGCACGTTACCATTGCTGATGACTGCAAAGGATGCGTGCCCTTGGACTCGTATTCGTTTGACAAGGTACGAAAGTGCGAAGAGCTCAACGTGATTCAATGAGAATTGAATAATTTTGCTCCGATCCGGCAGAATCTACTTGAATGAATAAAATTATTAATTCATCTCAACTTTAATACAGTTCTACAATGTGATAATCGTGTGCTTTAGCACACGTGTACATAAATATGTGCATTTGGCCAAAAACATAAGGATTAAGAGGCAGAAAGATACGATCAATTTTCACTATTTTCATCCATAGTTGCCATAGTTACCATTAGCCACGTTGGCACTGTCGGCAGGTTCCATTACCTGTTACCATTGTACTGTGATCCGCAAGCACTCTTTATTTATGACAAAGATATCAACCCTGATATATAAGCTCCAACAAATCGATCGGCATCTTAACGTCTTCCCCCGAGTCTTCGAAAAGAGTACACGTGTATAGAACTTCCGACGTGTGCAAATAAGTCTGATTATACATGTGTACGTTACAGATGTGATTCAATTGATGAAATCAAATTTCTCAACAGCTAAATTAGTCTGACAATTTTTCATTTTACAATTTCATTTTTCGCACATTTTACTCATGAAAAACTGACAAACTGTCCACGTTTGCTCTCGCAATCCTTAATGCTAAATAATGTGTTTGCGTTTTGGTATCAGGTAAATGACGTTGAAATGTCGAACATCAACATATTCTTGCTCACTCCTGATTAATATAGGACTTGTTGGCGGCTACGAGTGTCTACGTAAAACGTTTTCTCGCAGGTTATCCCCAAGTTTAAGGCGGTACTCGTGAAATTCGACGTCGCATTTCCGTACGGCGGCAAGCACGAGCAGTACGCGACGGTAGCGGCCGACACCAGGGACTCGCAGGATCTCCTGATAGCCACAGTGGGCGTCAAGGACTTTGGCAATAAGGACAACTCCGATCTGGCGCAACGTTACAGCATCAAGAAGGACGACTTCCCGGTAGTTTTACTATTCGTACAAGGCAAATCGGAGCCGCTCAGATTCACTCCCGAGAAGGATTCCGATTTTACGGGCGAATACTTGAAGCGATTTGTCAGGTCTAAATCGAGAGTGTACTTGGGCCTACCAGGATGCGTGGAACGTTTGGATAAGCTGGCCGAAGAGTTCAAAGCCGCGGGAGAACAGGACAGGCAGGTGAGGACTTGAAGATCAACAAGGCAACTTATATTTCGTTGGATTATTATTGCTACTATTACCTAGAGTGGCTCAATAAATGCTACAAAGCGCGTGTATTCTTTTCCTAGGAGATACTGAAGAAAGCAAGAATCTTTGAGGGGACTTTACCGGAGGAGCAACGAGAGGCGGCAAAAATTTATGTCAAGACTATGGAGAAGATCCTCGAGCGGGGAGATGTGTTCGTACAGACGGAAGAAACACGAGTGCAGGGACTTCTTTACAGAGGAAAACTGTCCGATCAAAAGAAGCGTACGATGGAAGAAAGACGAAACATCTTGCAATCTTTCTCAGCGAGGGATGAGCTGTAAAGGACTTGTCTAACAATAAGTAACAAACACCTAGCGACCAAGTTTTCGTGTGTCGAGTTGTTGCGCTACTTTGGACCACTTTATCCATTGTATGTACAAACCGATCAAGTGGCAACTGTGCAAGGTACACTCGGACATTCCATTTGATCCTTTCATGACCGTTCGCGAGTCGTTCATTTCATTTCAATTTTCCGTCGATCTTTTGTTAATAAGCAATAGCTTCTGAAAATGCCACGTGATCATGAAAGGGTTAAAAGATCCACTCCGCGTTACTTTAATTATTTTGCATTCCTTAGTTTATTCCTCTGTAACCAAGTATCTCTTGCTTTTCGTGTTCTACAAACGCGAAATGTAACATCATTTCCCTTAAACGCTTTATCGTTTCATTTCTCTATACAATACGAAGCAAATCAGGCGATAAATATAAAAAAAATATATATATAATTCTCATATCCAAGACTATTTGTCCATTTGTCGAATCGGTCATTCGATACATTTACTGCTCTTGTGAGTGTCCGACAACGGAATAGAGTCTCGTTGGGAGCCAAACTGATCTCTATTCCTCCCGACACCATACAGTGGATCCGTCGAGTGGAAAACAGCCGATCAAGCCTGTCCATTTCTTTTGTTTTATAAATCATTGTTGGATCATATAATAATTTAGAAATTATTATATATTTCTCCAATCTTACCAACAGGATCCAACCGACAGACTGGGAATGTGTTAAGTAAAACTATTATCAATTACGCACAATAGCAGTAAACAATTGATTAAACATATTCTCTAAGAAAACGGAAGGCTAACAGGTTGTGGAGTGAGACGTTACATCGTAAACATCGTAAAGGTGGATTAATTTTATATCGACTGTATCGCTCTTTCAACACACTATTCATTCTTCTTGATCATGGGAAACATAGTGCGCGGTCAACTATAAAAAAAAAGTTTGATAACGCATCTTTGTGAAATAATGAAGAAATAAAATGCGGGAGGCTTTGCGTTCGTACACTTGTCGTTGTATTTATTCGTTTCTCGACTGAGAAAGAAACAGTCAACATACATTCCCTCGCATACATTCCTTTCAGTACAAATGCAATTTCGTATGAATTTCATACCAGGTTAAAAAAATCACAGATAATATGTTTATACAGATACGTACAGTTTCATCACGCTTGGAAAAAAGATTTAATAAGCTTCTCTATAACATTATTGCTAAAAATGCCTATGTATTACATTCGATTATCAAGTAATGAAACAATGGCATGTAATGTATGTTAGAATGTGCCTTTTGATAAGCTCCGCGTCACGTTTTATGTACTCGTCACCGAATATACACAATCTCTTACTTCTCACCTTCGTTTTTCACTTTCAACTTTGTCAGCTCGTTGATTATTTTCTCTTCGCTCGCTACTACGTCCGTCTCCCCCGTCGCCTCTTTCGTAATCTCCTTCTGCGGAGAAATCGCGTCGCAGTCCTCGGTCCGCTTGGCCGATTTTGTCTGGTCCTCGTTATCGGTACTCTCGCTGTAACTTACGTCGCTGCTGGACTCGCTGTCGCTCTCAACGCGCTTCTGTTCCGAATTGCCCTTGCCAGCATAAATCTCGCATTCAGATCCTACAATCTTCTTAGCCTTCTCAAAAGCTTCCTTCCACAGTGTCGCGTCTATCGCAAACAAGTCAAGTAATGCAGCAACATCCTACCATCGTCGCTACTCATTGTGTCATTTGCGTCATACGCGTGCGTATAACTACAACATCTCGTGCGGTACTTTAGAACTTTGCAATAAGAATTTTAATTCAATATGGGGAGGGTAACTTAATAATCAAGAATAAAAGTAGGATTAAGGCCAATATATTTACGAGCAATAAAACATTTAATAGAATAATAATCCAATTTAATGTTATTCATTTTTATTTGTAAAAGGAAAACGTGTGTTACTTATTGCAATTTTAATTATCCATCTTTAAGAATCACGCGTTATTATACACGCCTTCCATACATCGATTTACTCTAATCGTTTTACTTAAACACAAAAACATTGTTCATCGCCGACACATGACAATGGATTTGCTGGAATTATTATTCTATTAAATGTTTTATTGCCCGTAAATATATTGGCCTTAGTCCTTCTTTTATTCTTGATATTCATCAAAGACGAGCTTGTACTTAACTCTTAGTTAACTTAATAATGCTAAGTACAGCAAAATTAAATTGAAATAATTTACAAAAATCGTTCGGCGATTTTTAGAGCGCGTCAATTCACCGGCGACAATGATCTCACCTAGGGAAGATCTGCGTTACATGTCCGGAAAGTAACGGCGCGCGGTGCAGGGTGGAAAAAGGACGGTGTACGGATTCACTTGGCAATTTAATTGGCCGCCACCTGCGCCAGGTCCTGAATGGCGTTTAAGTTTCAAATTGACTTTCGAACTTACTGTCGGCATTCGCGAAACGTATCGCGAGTAATTCCGGCTTGAGCTGCTCGTCAGCGTAATCGGCGAGTACGCTCCACACCCACGCTCTGTCGCTGCCGCAATTTGGCTTCAGCTCCATCCACGGTGTGATAAAATGATTCGCACAGATCTTGAGAGTTTTGTCTCTGCGCATCACCACTCTGACGGTGTTCTTTGTCTTGTGTCTCAGCAACTTCACCTCCCCCGTGCCACGCTCCTTCCATTCCGCGGGATTACTCGACGTGTCGTATCGGTACAACTTTGCCCGTCTAGATATCAATAGAGAGAATGTCAAGCGTCAAATTAATAAGCTTTCAAACTCAATGTCGGTTGTCGAGAGTTCGGCTCGGGCGTACAGGAAAAACAAAACACAATGGCTTACAGCTTCAACATCTCCGTCTCGTCCTCCTCATTGTTTGACACTTCTATCAAGGGTAACGAAATTATAGGATCGAAGTGCACGTCGTTCTCAGTGTTGTTCTCCTCGTCGTTTTCTTGCGACTCGCAGGTGGCACCTTTCACGTCAATGTGATCACCGTTCAGCTTGAAAAAGAAAAGAGACTGGTGACGCTTTTCGCTCTCTCGAGACTTGACGAATTCGACGCTGCTCGGTTACGAGATATCAACGATTTTCGTCAATCGTTCCCAAATTTGCACGAGAGAGCGTGAGCGAGGGAGATAAAAATTGACGCGACATCCATCTCGGACGCGTTCACGCGTTTAATTTGGAAATAATAAACATAACCTATTGTCCACGACGCAATTTCTGGCAGCGGTCGCTCGAGCGAGCCGTATCTTAATTTAGACAGCGAACCGCGCGAGAGGGAAGAGAGGGACGCTCGACTCACGTACCACGTTCTCCGGCATCTTCTATCCGCGTCGGTCGGCGTTCAGTTGCGTTCGCTACGCTAGCTGGAGACAAGAGAGCCACGGAATGCGATACGACGCGGCCGACGCGTACTTCCCGTCAGTTCCGTCGGTTTTTCGTCTTCCATATTTCGTACCGCGTTCGACCAATCGACCCCGCCGCACCGGTGACGTCGACCCGCGTTCGATCTATCGCCCTGGGGTTCGAGAGCTCGCACGGCGCTTTTCGCCCCTACTTTCCGGACGTTGCGAGAGACCGACTCCTCGAAAGAGAGTCGGTCGGACGTACACACGCACGTTCGATAGCGCGCGCCGGACGCGAGGCGACGTTGTCGAGGAGAGAGAGAGAGAGGGAGAGGGAGAGAGAGAGAGAGAAATATCGAGAGAGAATTCGAGAGGAAGCGAGCGGGCGCGCGCGAGCGGTGGGAGGAGAGCGAGAGCGATGGGAAACGGCGCGGTGGGAATCGGTGGGAAGCGGGCGAACTAGCGGACTAGCGAAAGAGGAGCGGGGTAGGAGGAGGGGCGAGGGGAGGAAGTGTAGTCGGGAGTGCGCGGTTATCCGGACGGCCATTGCCGAGTAACTTGTACGAAGCCGCGAGCGCGATTCCCGTGTCGTGCGGCACGCAAGCGAGTAATCCCGGTGGACCGACCGTCAGCCCAGCAGCGAGGTGCCCCGTGTTGAGCTTGGGACGCGCACGAGACCCCGGCCCGATGGCTGAGACCGACAAATTGAACATCGACAACATCATAGCTCGACTCTTGGAAGGTAAAACTGGTCAAAACTGGTCGATCGCCGTACACTGGTCGCGCGAGGACGGGGGATGGGGAGGGGAGGGGGATTGCGACGCAGCTCGCTCGGCTCGCGCCTCTCCGCCGCTCCCCCCCCCCTCCCCCTCCGCCACTCCCGCGCGTTTCCCTCGCGCTCGCGATTTTCCTCGCTACGCTCTCGAACGTGCCACGACGACGCCCGTGTCCCGGTCTTCTGCGCGCTCTCTCTCTTTCTCTCTTCTTCCCTCTCTCGCGCTCTCTTTCTCTCAAGGGCACAGACGCCGTCCCGACCATTATCTCGGTCCCGTCATTACGCAATGGTCTCGAAAATGATTGAAAATGATGAATCAGCTCTCCCGAAAGGACTGGAAAACTGGCACGCGCGTTAGTTTGTTTACGCGTTCGTCAACCCTGGGCGAGGTCCGCTCGTCCGTACCGCGAAACAGCGGGTCGAGAAAGAGAGAGTGTATGTGTGTCTACTGTAGTACTTGGACAATTGTAATGCTCGTCACTAAAGGCCTGTGTCCACGATCCAAGAACTGTGTCAAAGTTCTAGTTCCAAGAGATGCGTAGCCAATCAACTCGCAGCTTTTCCATAGAAGATACAGGTTGATTGGTTGCATATTTCTTGGAACTAGTACCTGGACACAGTTCTTGAATCGTGGACACAAGGCTTAAAGGCCTGTGTCCACGATGCCTAGAACTTGGTCTAAGTTCTAGTTTGAGGAAACGTGTAGCCAATCAACTTGCAGCTTTTATGGAATAGCTGCACGTT